GTTAATTAAGTTGACCAAATTCACTCACCTAACAAATAGTAGAGCTGGGATATGGAACCAGACTTTCTGATTCCAGTGCTTATTTATGTTCTTTCTTTTATTCCAATCTACTTTCCCAAGTCTGCAAACAGCTATGAAAAAAATATTTTATAAAAATATTTCCATACCTGCTATTCATCTGGGGTCCTGCAAGAGGATACATAGGCTCCATGATAATTTGGTAAATGATTTATCCAATTTCAAAGGCTCAGTAATCTAAAAAATAAATACAATGTTATGAATGGATGACAAAAACAAAGATTTAGCCACTTATTAACAAAATTACAGACAAAAGTATCTAGGATACTTCTATAAAATACATTATAGATTAATAAGATAAAATGCTTATGGATGCTGCTAATCATTTTCATACTTTACGGCCATTCTCCCTATAAATTAATTCTCCCCCAAGATCCTCCTTGCATCAACTTAATGAGCTGGGTAAAGCAGGCAGTATTTTAACCAGTTTTTCACACATGTACACAGAAGATGTATGTTTTATGACTTTGCCAATGTCATGCACCTGTGACAAGAAGATTTATAAATAAAACTGGAGGTCTTCAGATCCCCAAGCCCACTATGCTCTTGCCATTACATCAAGGTAGGGAACTGGCAGTATTTTTATGTATTATGTATTGTTACTTTGTAATTAATTGGATCCTTATGGGCTGAAGAAAGGATCCAAAGCATTAACTTCTTTGTAGGTGGTAAATCTTACAGGAAAATCACAAAACATCTTTATTTATGCCGATATGCAAACAATGATGTATTTTGAAAACCATATTGTACCTAGCTATTCTCCTTTACTACTGACAGAACTGGTATGAAAAGATTTAAATCAATTAGCATTTCTTTTGTTAATCAAAGGTAGTAATACCAAATTGTCAAATTAATAGAAGAGATTTTAACAAAAGCCTCACAGTGTTCAGAAAATTATAAAGCAACAGATAGGAAAAATTTTAGCTAGATATTCATTGGACCTATAATGAAGTCATCAAGGAATCTTCAACCTTGTAGAGATAGAAGACAAACACTGCATCCTCACAACTGACCTATATCAGAGATCTTTTTTTTTTTCAGCTCCACATGTCTTCTCTTGATAATTTCTTTTTTATTTTATTTTATTGTGATTTGGGTGAAAATTTACAGAGCAAATACACTTTCCATACAGCAGTTCACATACTCTTTGTCTCATGACATTGACCACAATTTATCACAATGCAACAGTTATCCCTCTCACTTCCTCCTGATAATTACCTCTTCCCTGTGTCCATCCCTCCATGCACCCCTGCCCCCTGAGCTGTCTCCCTGTGCATAAGCAGCCCTTCTTTCTCCATGATTGTTCTCTCCAAGAAGTGTATCTACCTCAGGTAAATGTTCAACTCCTATGCCTGTCTTTTGCTTGGCTAGAAGCCACAGGTGTGGGTTCAATTCCAGACATGAGGCCATAGTCTCATCCACCAGGCTCTGTTGGACCAGCAAACCTGGTCTCCTCCTTTTTTTTTCTCCAAATGATTTTGAGTTTTGTTTCACATTGTTCTCCCTCTCTATCCAGGATCTCCTACATAGATCCCCTTCCAAGTGGTTGATAGTGGTAGCTGGGCACCATCTAGTTCTTCTGGTCTCATAGTCGTATAGGCTGCAGATCAGATGGTGTACCAGTCGCTAGGACTAATTGTTTCCATATTTTTGGTTTTCTTCATTCTTTGCTCTGGATGAGGAAAGACCCATCATTGCATCTAGATGGCAGCTTGCTAGCTTTTAAGATCTCAGTTGCTACTCGCCAAAGTAGGAGATGGAACAATGTTTTGTATGTTATGCCAATTGAGCTTGATGTCCCCTGTGACTATGGTCCCGAGCCCACAGGTTCAACTACTCGGTCCCTCTGGGTAGCTGGCTGTGACCAAGAAATGACTACAACCTTGCCCCTTGTCAGCTCTACTATACACCTGGGAATTCAGATCATACACATAAACTTATAGGACCACTGTCTGCCAACCCTATACTTGTTCTTGGGTACACTCTCCACTTCATAGACATACCTAATAGTTCAGCCTGTCCACCCATCTATCCACCTGTATATCCATGTTTGCCTTCACTGACAACACAGTTACTGTATGTGCACAAGGGTTCATCTTTGTTATCTGTACCTCTCACGTAACTCTCTTTCTCTTCCTCAATGCCACCATATTGATCACTTACGTTTAGTACATTGCCCTTCTCTTCACCCAAATCAATACTTATCTCTATCTATCTAACAGTTTTCCCTCCCCTTTCCTCCGACCCAGGTAACCAACAAAGAAAATTTCCTTCCATAGATAAACCTTTCCTTGACTTTTCCAATAACGGACTAATACGATATTTGTCCTTTGGGATTGACTTATTTCACTCAGCATAATGTCCTCCAAGTTCATCCACATTATACGGTGTTTTGCAGATTCTACATTATTCTTTAGTGTTGCATAGTATTCCATTGTGTGTATGCACCATAGTTTGGTTATCCATTCCTCAGTTGATGGACACCTAGGTTGTTTCCATCTTTTGGCTATTGTAAATAGTGCTGCAATGAACATGGGTGTGCATATGTCTATTCTCGTCCTGGCTCTCACTTTTTTAGGATATATATCTAGTAATGGAATGGCTGGGTCAAATGGTATTTCTAATTCTAACTTTTGAAGGAATCACCATACTGCTTTCCACAATGGTTGTACCATTTTACAGTCCCACCAGCAGTGTATGAGAGTTCCAATCTCTCCACATCCTCGCCAGCATTTGTTATTTTGTCTTGTTGAATTTTGCTACTAGTGCTGGACCAAGATGGTATCTCATTGTTGTTTTGATTTTTCTCTGGATAATTTCATCCGCTGCCATTTCCAAAACCCAAACCCACTGCCATCGAGTTGATTCTGACTCACAGAGACCCTTTTGGGTTTCCAAGGCAGTAAATCTTTACGGAAGAAGATTGCCCCATCTAAGCTGGTAGGTTTGAACTGCCAACTTTTTGGTTAGCAGCCAAATGCCTTAGGCACTGTGCCACCAGAGCTCCTTAGTATTTCCTATATTCTTTAATTAAGTCTTATATTTCTTTATGCCTTGCATTATATTTCAACTCCAGTAAAAAGAACTGTCTCAGGCAAGATAAGGGAGAAAAGAGTTATTAATGCAAGTATAGAAATTCATTTAGAAGACACTTTTTAGATAAAAACAAAAGCAGAAAATACTAACAAGAACAAAATCCTATAGAAAGTACCCACCTAAAACAATTAGTCTAAGAGACTGGTAGACCATGCGATTCTCAGCCTATATGACCATGAGACCAGAAGAACTAGATGGTGCCTGGCTACCATTGTCAACTACTCAGAAAGGGATCAGTGCAGGAGATCTTGAATAGAGTGGGAGAACAATGTGGAACAAAACTCACAATCGTAAGCAAGGCCAGGTTTGCTGTCTGATAGAGCTTGGTGAGACCCCTTAGACTATGGTTCCTAATTACCCTTCAGGTCTAGAACTGAACTCACTCCTGTGGCTTCCAGTCAAACAACAGACAGGCATACAGGATGAACATTTACATCAGGTAGACACATTCCTGAGAGCAATCAATTGTGGGAGAACAGAAGAGCAGTGTTTGCACAGGGAGATAGCTAAGGGGGCAGAAATGCATAGGAAAGAGATAATCGCAGGGAGGAAATGGGAAGAGAGCTGTTACATTGTGGGGAACTGCAGTCAATGTCATGAAACAAAATGTGTATGAACTGCTATATGGAGAATGAATTTGCTCTGTAAATCACAATAAATATTAAAAAAAAAAAAAAGGAAGTACCCATCTAAGGTTGCCTAATAAGCCCCTTTTGGAGACATCTGGACTTCAAAGGTTTAATGTAGTTCCTATGGAATGTAGGCTTTAATTTCCAGAGCGCTTTTATGCCATGTGGTTATCATGGATAACAGTATGTATACACATTAATAATTGTAATTTTGGAAGGTATATAAAGTGGCACTTTTCTTCATTAAAGAAAATAGTCTTAAAACTCCGTATCTGTCTCCATTTCTTTTTGCATTAGGGTAAAAAAATAGGATAAAATGTTTATTCATTTTTCATTTTAAAGCAATACACATAAGACATTTTATTCTGAAAATATCACACAAGCAATTAAAGCTAAGGAAATTATAACCAAACAACACCTATACCTAGCGAAACATATTCTTCTCAGATAGTGGCATTATTCTCTTATCAAATGGAAACCATGAAGTCATTCTTACCTGTCCTTTCTCCTTCTGCCATATAAATTCTCTCTTTTCATGCCCACTGCCTTAGTTCCTGACTTTATCAACTCTAACTAGGTTTACTGAAAAGTCCCTACAGTGTTGGTAGAAGAAATACAAAGAATACAAAGAAATTTGTATAGAAATACAAATCAGACCAAGTAATTCCCTTGGTTATAAAAAATTTCTGATGACTTCTCTTTATACACAATAAAAAGACTTCACAATCTTGCCCCACCCGATTTTTCTAACCTTTTATCTCCTTATCCACTCATCCTACACCCCAAACTGAACTACCTGCAGTCATCCTCCCTCCCCACCTTCATTTTAGTGTCTGTACAGGCTGTTCTCTTAATTTGAAATGCCCTGATAAACTATCATCCTTCACAATCTCAACTCGATTGTCACTTCCTCTGAAACCTCCTAGATCCTATGGTGGTGTCTCTATCACTGTGTTGACACACAGCGTTTTCACACCTTATTTACGTATTACTTCCACTAGACAAAAACAACAACAACAAACCAAACCCACTGCTGTCCAGTCAATTCCGACTCAGCGACCCTACAGGGAAGCGTAGAAATGCCCATAGGGTTTCCAACGCTGTAAATTTTTACGGAAGCTGACTGCCTCATTTTTCTCCCGTGGAGCGGCTAGTGGGGACCTTTTGGTTAGCCGCCGAGCGCTTTAACCACTGCACCTCCAGGGTTCCCTTCCACTACACCACGAACTTCAAAAACTGAATGATCCCCTACTACGTGGCAGAGTTTAGGTGGCTATTGAGAGAAATTCAGGGACGAACAATACAAGATCGCAAGCTTCAAGAATTTTAGTACAAACAACTTTAAGTGGCACGTAATCGATTATAAATCTCTTTCACATACCTTATTTCAGATGATTTCCCAAAGAATCTGGTCCACTTAGCCTCCCCGACTAGTTCCCCTTCTGGTCATCGGTCCCAGGCTCCCGAGTGCTGAACCCATCATAAGGCCTGGAATGTTACTCACTCTCCTACCCCAGTCCCCATAGAAAGATTCCTGAGAGAGAACTTCACCCCTTCCTAAGCCTCCGCCCCTCAAGGAGAACAAGAAGGACAAAATCCCACTCACCTCAACCTCCGATAAAGTTGGGCTCTGTTTGTTACGTGGAAACAAGATAGCTCCAAGGAGCGCCTCCGCCGACACCAGCCCCGCCTCTGGGACGTTGGTGTCGCGGCAATAGCCGCGGCAAACAAGCTCGTCAAACCGAAGCCCGCGCCGCGCCTGCTGAGTGGCCAGAAATCCGATCCATCAGGAGAGGGGGCTGTGCTGGTTGCGTCATGCACGGTCGCCGCAATGTGCCTGTCCATCAGCCAATCAAAGCCCGCACCGGCACCGCGCTGGCCAATCCTAAACTTCTAAGGAGACTAGAGGGCGCCACCGGCACTTCAGGATCCCGATCCGGAGGTTTTAAATGCTTCATTTTCGTCAACGGTTTTGAGTTCCGGGGTGGGGCGGGTCATGCGCACGCTCAGGGAAAAGACCATCTGGCGAGCTGTGAGAAGAGGGTAGTGGAAGAACCCGGAAGTGCTCTTTGTTGGGATCGCCGCTTTGGGAGTGGCTGTTGAGAACCGCTAGAAACGGATGCACTGGAAACAGCCCCCAAATTACTTGAATGGGCAGGGAAGAGAGGAAGTTAGATTTGTTCCATTGTCTTTTCTTAGAAGCATCCCCTCCTCTCAGTAATATAAAAGTAAAAATGAAAAGAAGTTATTTCCTGTTGAGAATGTGACTTAAATTTGTAAGCCATCATACTTCTCTCCACAACTAACGTTGGTATTGTGCTTCCTCTGCCATTATTTTATTCTACCAAAGTAGACAGCAGTTATCCCTATTCAACAGTGTGAAAAGATCACACAAACTCCACTTTTGTTAGTCTCCTGAGCAGTATAAGACTGTCCAAGTCTGAGCCGCATTTGCAGGCTGTCATGTTCCGAGTAAGCATCCACCCTTTTAAGAGAATTAAAATACTAATCTGAGAAACGTACAAACTAGCCGATAAACATAAGCTCCATAGAGTGTCATATTCTGTCCTGGAAAAAATTCTTGCAATCTAGGGCACACATCTTTAAAATAGTGGCCAGTATGAGAGTTTGAATAAGAAAACGTAAACTGAGATACAGGAGAAGCACCAGAAGTCTTGGCATCTCAACTCCTACGGTCCCACCTGGACCAAATTCATGTTGAAGAAGTAGTATTTGTCGTTAGTTAATGTCACGCTCAACCGCTAAAGTTTGGCGGTTCTGACCCACCCAGTGGCTCTGTGGAAGAAAAGGCCTGGCAATAGCCAAGAAAACCCTATGAAGCAATTCTACTCTGTTAACATGAGATGGTCCTGAGGGAAGAGTATAGCTAATTCTAATAATAATAAAAAACTGTAGTTATAATAATACCAGCTGTGTGCCAAGCACTATGCCAGATATTTTACATACATCCTAAGAAGTGTATATAGATACTCTGTTTTTATAGAGGAGGAACTAGAGGCTTGGAGAGGACAAAGAACTTTCCCAAGGTCATACATGGTATCCCTAAATCTATGAGCACAAAGTCTGTGCTAATTTTGTTCACATTCTATCCCCAGAAGAGTGCCTTGCACATGGTAGGCACTCAGTAAATATTCGTTAGAGAAGAGGCAGTACAGCTAAATAAGTAGAAGAGCCAAGATTCAATCCAGGTGAGAGAATAAAAAATAGAAAATACCTAAAGAATGTCTAACATATGACATCTGTATTTTAAAAAATTTTTGAAAAATATTTGGTGAGTGAGTAGGTGGGGGGGAAAGAGTCAATCAATAAATAAATATACTTTTTTTTTCTGTAAAATATTTGTTGTATACTTGATATAAAACAACTCTTCTATAAAAGTGTCTGTGTAATTGTAAAAGGCTATGGGAACTAATATTTACTGAGTTTTGGTACTTCCTCAAACAATGTGCTAGGTACTTTCCACAAGTTATCTCCTTTGGTCCCTTACAACAGTTGAATAAAATGGAATTAGTAGTCACTATGAAGTGAAATCAACTTGATGACAATGGGTTTGGTTTTATGTTAAAGATGGGAACCCTGGTGGTGCAGTGATTAAGCGCTTAACTGCTAACCAAAAGGTCCATGGTTTGAACCCACCAGCCACTCCATGGGAGAAAGCTATGACAGTCAGCTTCTGAAAAGGTTACGGTCTTAGAAATGCTATGGGGCTGTTCTACTCTGTCGTATAGAGTTACCATGAGTTGGAGTCCACTTGACAGCAATTAGGTTTTCTTTTGTTTTTACTAGTTTATTACAAATGAAGTAGCTGAGAATCAGAGATGTTAAGTAACTTATCTAAAATTGCACAACTACTTCCTATGTGATCCCAAACCAAGGTTTATCTCCCTATATCTCAATAACTTATTGTTTTGTTTTTACTATAAAAAAGAAACAGTAATAAGACTAGAATAAAGGGATTAGTAAGCTGGTAGATGGAAGAAATCAACAAAAACTTTGTGGCATTAACTTTAATTGAACAGTATAACACGTATGTTTTCTTTATGTATTTGTTCAATTGATATATACATACAGAGAAAGAGAAATTTATCTTAGGAAAATGGCTCACACACTTATAGAAGCTAGCAAGTCCCAAGTTCTTGGATCAAACATCAAGCTGGAGGCTCTTCCCGACTCACTAAGCTGTAGGGGCTGATGAGCTCAAGGTTGGCAGGCAGTGTATTGCCTGTTGATTCCAACGAGTGACAAATCCAAGATCACCAGGCCGAATGGTGGATTGTTCACTCATGGACAGTTGTAGGCAGCACAACAGGATCCCGATCCACAGAAGAGTGTCTCTTTTTCCCAAGATGTCCATAAATATAGTGGAAGCAGGCCACACCCCTACGGAAACTCCCTTTCAATGGATTGGCTGCTTGAAACATATATCCAATCTCATCATGGGAATAACCCACATCACAACTGCTTAAACCACTCAGAATTGTGGTCCAGCCAAGTTGACACACAACTCCAACTATCACAGGCAGAAAGCCTCAGACAGTGATGCTTGTCTGAAAAAGTATTAGCAAACACAGGGGAGCTCTGGAGCAAAGATTGCCTATTAAAGGAGTCCTACATTAGGCAGAAATGGCTAGGCCCTAGAACTCTTGCTGTGTTCATTCATTGCTTGGGTATTCCCAGAAAGACAGGCACCAAACGAAGATACATCTTGAAGGCTAGAGGAGAACACTGTCAGCTAACTGCATTTTTTACAGATGAATAGCAAGATCTTTCTGGAAGGATACTCAAGGGACAATCTCCATGATTGCCACAGGTATAATAACTTCAAAAGTCCAGGGATGGGAGCTTCTGGCATCTTCAAGGAAAAACAAGGAGATTAGTATACCTTGAGCAGAGGGAGTGAGGAGCATTTGAGGTGGAAGGCGGTAGAAGGTTGATAGACCATGTAGGGCTTTTTAGACCATGGTAAGGCCTTGGTTGTGCTCTGAGTTAGATAGGAAGCCACTGGAAAATTCTAAATAGAGGTCTGACATAATCTGACATTTAGGCTTTAAAAGGACCACTGTGGTTGCTATGTTGAGAAAAAACTGTAGGGGCCAAGGGAATAAGCAAGGAGACTAATGAGAAGGCTGTTGCAATAACTTAGGGGCGAGATCAGACCAAAATGTTAGCAATGTTGGAAGTGGTGAGAGATGTTGGATTCTGGGTACCTTTTTAAGTAGAATCAGCAAGGTTGGGTGTAGGATGTGAAAGAATGGGATTTTGTGTGGGTCACTCATGATTATGGTTTTCTTTAAAACTACTTTAAGATATCTGAAAGATAAATGCAAAGTGATGTGAGTTAGCCAAAAAGGAAGAAGTAATTTTTCCACTCAGGTGTGAGCTGGACATAAAGATTTCCTTCTGAAGAGCACAGGATGGAAAGTGGCGGACAAAGAATAACATTACAGTGAAGAAACCTGGCAAACACTACTAACTCATCAGGTGATTCAGACCAACATCAACAGTCATAAATCATGTTGATAGCATGTACAACATGGGGTTAAGAAGTCTTCCTTCTTAAACCCAGTTTTATCATGAGTAAAACATCAGAAAAATTCCACTAATGGGGCACCTTACAAAACACCTGACCAGTACTCAAAATAGTCAAGGTTATCAAAAACAAGGAAAGTCTGAGAAATTGCCACAGCCCAGAAGAGCCAAAAGAGAAATGATAACTAAACATAATGTGGTATCCTAGATGGGATCCTAGAACAGAAAAAGAACATTAGATAAAAACTAAGTCCCAAGTTCTTGGATCAAACATCAGGCTGGAGGCTCTTCCAGACTCACCAAGCTACAGGGGCTGACGAGCTCAAGGTTGGCAGACAGTATATCGGCTGTTGATTCCAAATCTAAAACTAAAAATCTAAAACTATGGGCTTTATTTAATGATAATCAATCAATACTTGGTCATTAATTGTAACAAATGTATCAAACTTATTTAAGCTGTAAATAATAGTACTTCATTATTTCAATTTTCCTATAAATCTAAAACTGTTCCAGAAAATAAAGCCAATTAAAAAGGAGAGAAGAGTTGAATCATATGCTAATTTTTAAAGTAACAACAATAAAATAAAATTCTTCCCTTTTAAAATAATAACTCAAATACCAATAAGGTTTCAATTAAACATTTTATTACCAGCAGGCTAGTTATTTCTACACAGGATATACATTTAATGCTATGCATACAGTAAATACTTTTTGAATTGAATTAAGAGAAAAGTAATTATTGAGTTCGTCATTTTAGGGTTAGAATGACTCAACTTTTTATTTAGTGCAGCTTGGAGGTGTCTAATGGACCTCTGGTGGTGTAGTGGTTAAAGCATTTGGCTGCTGAAACAAAAGATCCACAGTTGAACCCACCAGTTCAATTAAAAAGGATTTATAGCCTTGGAAAACCTACGGGGGTCATCACTATGGGTGGGAACCGATTGGGTAATAGCAGGTTTAGTTTTTTTTTGGTAAGGAGCTCTGGTGGTACAAAGGCATTCAGCTGCTAATCAAAAGGTCAATGGGTTGAACCCACAAGCCTCTTGGTGGGAGAAAGAGGTGGTGTGCTTCCATAAAGATTTGTTGTTGTTGTTGTTATATGCCGTTGAGTTGTCTCCAACTCATAGCAACCCCTCCTTGGGTTTCCTAGGCAGTTTCACTACAGAAGTAGATTGCCCAATCTTTCTTCTAAGGAGTAGCTCGTGGGTTTGAACTGCCAACCTTCTGGTTAGCAGTCAAGTGCCTTAGGCACTATGCCACCAGAGCTCCCCCATAAAGATTTAGTGCCTTAGAAACCGTACGGGTAAGTTTTACTCTGTCCTATCTCGGAAACCCAGTGGGGGTCGCTATGAGTTGGAAGCGACTAGATGGCAGTGGATTTGGTTTTTTGGCTTTTCTAGGGTTGCTA